GTATGTATGTATGTATGTATGTATGTATGTATGTATGTATGTATGTATGTATGTATGTATGTGTCCCTCCATCAAAATAAGATTTTTTTGGAGCATTCGTTGACCATGGATATATGTGTGTTTGTTTGTCAAATTTTCCGGAAAAAGTACTGGAAAAACAAATTTTTAGGCAACTCTCGATGAAGCTACGGAGCCCTGGGGAGTGAAAGTGGAGCGTGTTGAAGTGAAGGATGTGCGGCTTCCCATTCAGCTTCAACGTGCTATGGCAGCTGAAGCCGAGGCTGCTCGTGAAGCTCGAGCTAAAGTAAGTTAACACCTTAAATTACTCGCTGAAACCATTTGGGCTCTAGAAAGATCTGATCCGCAGCATGAGAAATAAGAAGGAAATCATGTGGTCTTAGAAATGTGAGAGATAGCTAAAGTAATCGAAGAAGACAAAGCTGCTAATCCAGTATGAGTGTTTTTTAACGATATCGAAATCTCCACAGTGGTACTTCGCAAGACATAAGTGAGAAGCCGAAAATTCCTGATTATTTTAGTTGAATTTTTAGCCACTTGTTTTTCCTATAAACTTTAAAGTAGCAATATGCAATTCCAGGTAATCGTAGCGGAAGGTGAGCAGAAAGCTTCACGTGCTCTAAAAGAAGCTGCTGAAGTTATCGCTCAATCACCGTCCGCTTTGCAGCTACGATATTTGCAAACATTAAATTCAATAAGGTTGAGTTTTTGATTCTCATTAACTTTAATGTAAAATCAGTTAGCAAGGCTCCTTGGACGTGTGTGGACCACTAAACTACGTCACACGCAGGACTCAATTATTCCAGTTCCTAATACTTAAAAAAAACGCACTATAACAAAGGCTAATATCCAAGCACGATGATGGTAAGTTTTAAAGTGTTTCTGTTGATACAAAACTAAAACGCCGTAAATTATAATGTGTTTATCCCTCTGCCTAAGGGATAGGCACTCTGCCTTAGAACATATTTGAAATACAGGATTGCAAAAAACTAGGAAGACAAGATTTATATACAATATCCTGACGGTAAACCGCTATTAATCCCCTTGTGCATTATTAACTGTCCCGATGCTATGAAAAACTGCCACTTCACCATTTTTGCCATCGGTAAAGACGACAGCGTTTCTGTTCCTTCTGATTTTGATTTCGTTTTATAACATTGTAAACAAGCTGTTAAAGAGGAATAAACAGTGGCACGAAATAATCGATGCGGCAACGCGTTTTGTGAAGTGCAGCCCTATTTTGTTAAGGATGCTTGCTGCCTTTACCGTGTGATTTACGTACTCATCGTCGGAATTTTCTGATCGGTCTTTTTTCTGCTCCTGTGCACAAGAAAAGTCGATTGTGGCTTTTTTAGACCATAACTGAAGGGATTTTATGCCATGCTTAAAGCCCAGTCCGGTTTGGCTGCCCATACTGTATTTTAGCAGTTTGTTGATCGTCCGGTTTTCATGATTCACAACTGTGGGATAGGTATATTGGTTCCACCAGTCTTACACTCGCCACTAGCGGCAATTTTTTTATTATCACTGTGGTTGAGTGAGAAGTGGATTTCAGATGTAAATTTATAAATGAGCTTCTTCGCGTCCAGTTTGAATTTGGTTCTCTGAATCATTGAAACATGTACAGGAGGTCGCTGTGTTGATGGCTGATAAAAAAGTTTTTTTCCAGTGCTGAAAAGAATTCAACAATTATATTTCCGTTTCCTATCGATTTGTTATCGTCGTTCTTTCATCGAACTGCTCCGAAGGTGTAAGCTATGTTTTCTTAATGAATATTGAAAGCGGAATTAGTCCTTTCGGTCTTTCTCTATCTTTCAGCAACTTGGCCATAAGAGATTACTAGAAGTGAATTTAAATAAGCAGTGTTATTTAACTATAAAAGACGAATTGAGAAAAGGGAAAAAATGGCAGGAGGAAGCAAAAAAATCGAAGTTGGACAAGCAGCTAAAAATAGAAGGAAGCAGGGAAATTTTTGAAAAATAAAATACGAAACAAAAACAGAGCGGATGAATAAATAAGGCATCAAGCGTTTTCACGCGTTCTTGCAATTCCAAGTTTGAAAACGCGCTTTGACCTGAACTTGTCTGCTTGTGTGTCTATAGAGTGTATGTGAGTGTTTGTGCGCGTGAGTGTGTATTTTTACGTATTTGTGCGCTTGCGTTCCGATCTTTACCGTGAAAAGTTTGTTTTATATGTCCCAGTCCCAACCGTGCACTTTGCTTTGATTCTCGTTCAAAAAGAAATCCTAAAAAGACCACTGCGCATGATCGCTGCAACTACCGCTCCTCTGGCTCGTTGCTTTTTCATAGTGTTTTTAATCACTTACGAAATTAATTTCATAAAAAGTTGTTCGAAACCTGAATTTTTAGCATTTTGAAGCCCTAAGCAAGGGTAATTGCCTAATCGACAACCAATGGAGGTTTTTTTTTTTGCACTTAAGAAAGCATCTTGTTAAGCATTATTTCGTGGAAAAATTTCGAAACTCAGCCATCTTATGAAAATCCTGGATAAATTTTACTGGTCAAGTTATTTGAATTTTGTGCACATTTCCGCTAGATTCCGCATTCTGTTCCCTTCCTAACTCCTTTTTCTCAGCGGCTTCACAACGTTTTGCTGCGAAATGAATGATTATCTTTGTTTTTTTTTTGCAAAGTACCCACTGACATAAACATTTCAGGTTTACTGATTTATCACTTACCTGATTTGTCGCTCAATTGCCTGACTTATAAGTTTAGGGCCCATGCTACTAGGCTGCTCCCAGAATTAATGAGCTCAAACCCATCCTCCGGATAAGCGTGACACCCAAGTACGGGTCCGTGAAATTTTTCTCGGGTAGGTTGATAACTCAGGGATCTGTAAAGCTAGAAAGTTGAAATCTCAAGGGGATGTTCCCCAAGTGGATATTAACGTGCTCAAACCCAGCCCTCGGGTATGCGTGATACCCACGCTCGAGCCCGCCAAAGTTTTTTTCGGCTAAGTTGATAACTCGGAAATTTGAAAAGCTAAAGAACTGTAATTTTAAAAGGATATTCCCCGCTCACCTACGTCTCATTGAGCTCAAACCCAGACTCCGGGTATGCGTGGTACCCGCATAAGGACTAGCCAAATTTTTTTTCGGGTGAGTTGCTAACTCAGGAGCCAGGAAAGCTAGAAAACTGAAATTTTAATAGAGTGTTTCATGTGTTTCATAACTTAATTTGTTAAGCTAGAAGCATTTGCCGAAAAAATAAGTGCTGGTAGCGACAAAAGCTGTGGAGATCTATGCAAAAAAACGCATCTTCGCACGGGCAACCCGTGCGTTGGCCAATTATTGGAACCGTATTAACCAAATGATAGGCTGAAAGTGGGAAGAACAGTAAAATACTGCCTTCTTCCCAATGCCTTCCCCTTCTCCCTTATGTTACCATTGCTAATGCTTACTATTACCATGCTGTGCTAGCTCGTGTGCCACTTCTCCGAAATCTATCTGAGTGTCTACTTTTCTTCTTACTGGTACCAATCGATATTAATTTTCAAATCTTCATCCTTTGATGAAATTCTAATTTCAGAGCAAGTAAAGTGCACTCAAGCTGATTGCTATCGTCATGGCATATTCTGCAAGCTTTCAAGCAGCATGCTCCTACTCCAATCGTGTAGAATTGCAATTTGTAGTTTCAAACTGCTTGTAATGCACATGCACTCTTTCCTTTTTAAAAAAAGACTTGTTTTTTTTCTGTAAAAAGCAACTTTCTTCTGAAAGGTTTTACCGCATTTTAGTAATTTTCGAGGATAAAAATAAGAATGAAGCTTACTGGCTATAAAAACTTTTTACTACCGTCTGCAATTCATGGACCAATTTTACAGCCATGCAGCTTGCAACTTCATCAACTGCATTGACCAGTGCTTTAGCGTCTAAGGTCAACTTTTCAGTGAGCCAGACTTCCGTTTCGTCTGTTAAAGGGGTTACCGCTTTGATGGATGTCTTCACGGATACAGTCGACGAAGTTTTATGTCTTTCAGGGTATCATTAGCGTATTTGCATACGTGTGCTGAGCATCACTATTTCATTTTGGTCGTTGCGAGTTCTAAAGCACTGCAAGAACCTTTGTCAACTAGATGTATTTTTTTAAGCTGCAAAAGTAAAATTTGTCCGACTAAATGCTCTGTTTTTTCGGCCGCAATTTGCTTGTTCTATTTACTTTAATAATTGATGAGAAAGAATTGTCCCCACTGGACGCTGCTATATGCTTAAGTTTTATAGACGTGCTTGAGCAATTCAAAGGTTGTTTTAGGCAATCATTGACCTGCAAGAAGTACCAAAGAATTTTAAGTAGTCAAAAGCAACTGAAACAATGAATTTTCGCGCTGTTCCCCACTGTGGCTTGCTTATCTTATGAAATGCTGGATTATTTCAGCCAAACGAGATCTGTTTGTTCACTTTATAGTTACAGTCGCTAAGTTAGTAAGGGGACGTTGTGTTTTTTTTATTTCCTAGACAGCGTATATTCTGGAAATTCCAGGCTCAGATGTTTGTGTTTTGAATTTTAGCATACTGTTAAAATTTTATTGAAATGTTAATAAATCAGCAATTTCTAAACAACGTCTGCTTTGCATCTTTCCTTCTCGCCATTGATGCAATTGACAACTTCTCAAGTCTGCTCTGTTTCGACCTCACCACATCCATGTAAGCTTGCGGGTTTCCTTCACTTCTAAGCTATCGCAAAGTTTTGTCTTTTAAACAGATGCTGTTTACACAGTGTACACATGGAAGAAAAAAGAAGATTCTAGAGTTGCTAATCAAATTTCAAAAAGTGCAACACTCTCCACCAAATTTTCTTCAGTAAAGCTGATTATTTCATTGGCATCGAAGATTCAAGCTGGTATAATAAAATTATAGCACAGAAAGTTAAAGCTCATCCCCCTCCCCCTTCCCCTCCCATCGTATTCGCTTTTGTAATGAGCAGAGGACGCAGCCAAGTGACAGCAAATGCCATCACCAACCAGTCGTCGCCAAAAAGCTGTCGATTGATAAAGTAACCAAAATCTCCCTGCCGAAGTTGTCATAATGCAAACCAATCATTTTCCGGCATTTCCGAGCTTAAACACCAACTCTATTTGCTATCCCTTAGCACTGCTCTCCTTTTGCATAACTGCTTAAATCCCTTTATGCAAGCACAGTAGCTATGTGGAACCGCTTGCAAATTCAGCACTGCAATAAATACCGATGTTGCTTATCGGACAAGCTCCTCCTTTTGAAAGAATACGTTTGGAAGTCTTGCTTTCAAAGAATATACTAGCTTTATTGTCAAAAAAATTACCGAAACATTATTTCCAAATTTCTTTTTAAAATTGTAGTTCCCACCAAGTTTCTGTTTCTTTCCTGATGTAGGCAGTCGATTATGGCAAACCTGTCGATTTCTTCTGACAGCTCCACCTATCCATAAATCCAATTTAGTAGGCCAAAAAGATTTATTCCCGGGTAAGCTTCGGTCAGAACTAAACTATTTCGTTTTTTTAATGGGAAAATAATAGATTCAAAATTTTGCATGCATTCAACGCTCCTCTGCATTCTACGATTGCTTACGTTCCGCAATGAGGCAAATAGTGCTTAACTCAAATACATCTTTGTTTTGTTGTTACCTCTGCTAACTGAAGCTAGAAACAGAAGTAATCTGAAAAGGAAAGCCGATGAAATAAGCTTGCGCTAAAAGAGGGTTCAGAGAGGAAATACCAGTACCTCCACGACGTATTCGCCCGTGTTGCCTGTACAAATATCCGGAATGGATACAAAGCATGTTCTCCGACACGGACAGCACCGGTACCAGCCATCAGCCGAGCAACGTTCATCCATCGCGGCCCAGTTCAACGCCGAGCACCACCTCCACCGGTGGCCGACCACCCTCCCGTCAGCAGAGGTGCGTTTTTCAACTTTCAAAAATGCCAAAAATGTGCTTTAAATGAATTTCAGATTGACAGTAAACATGGCAATGGAGGAAAAGTTTTCGTTTATCTGTGAATTCAGGCGTCCATGCTAACAGCAGTGTCCCGACCAAGCTAAGGTCCTAATCAAAAAACTTTTTCCAGTCCACGCAGAATGTCGCCAGGATCAGACAGCAGTTCGGTATCGGCATCAATCCCGGCGACAGAAGAACAAGGAGTAGCAATACTAGCCGGAACCAGCTCGAGTCGTCCAAAACCGGGTAAATTTTGCATGTGTTGCCTTTGACTTCCCCGGTATATCATGAGAAAAACGAAATGATATCCGTTATGACAAAGGGTGTGAAATGCAGTCACTTCCTAACCACATACTTAAAAAGAAATACTATCCGCCAAGCATTTTGGCATCAAAGATGTCGTTAGGACCACGTCAAGTAGTAAAATTTTACAAACAAAAAATACTACTTTTTGACATCTGATGACTTTTGTTGGGGAATTGTGTCCCCGTCGTGAAAAAGGGTCCAGTTAGGCGACTGTTGAAAAAATGCCATGTTTATGTAACAGGCCGTGATTACTAATGCGGTTACTGCTCCGTGTGTGCATTCCAACAACGCCGGATTTTATTTTTCTTATTAATATATTTTGTTTTAAAGCCCATGTTTGGAATACGTATTTCGAAGCACGTGGGTGAGAAGGCATCTCAGTAACATCACTAACATAGATTCCCACGCTGATTAACTAGAAGGATTTAGTTTTCTTGGTCCATAAATAAATCGCAAAAATATTTTTTATATTTCTGTTCTATGTATAGATTAAGAAAGCTATCCCAACTCTATCA